TCTTCTAATAATCACTTTATACAAAGAATAAAAAAATACAATTTTGATTTGAAGTATCTAATCGAGTTGACAAGTATAAAATTTTACCATCGTCAACGCTTACTCCACTTGAATGCTATTCAATAGGCCACTATTTTGACTCTATGGTCTTTTCTATAATGTCTGATTTAATTACTTTAAAATTTCTTCCAGAGATCTGCACTTATTTCTACATAATTATCTAAATAACAAAAGACGCTGGATCAAATTATATTACAGATATGAAATTATTTAAAAAATAAAACAAAAAAGAGGTATAATCACGGTGAGAGCTCATGTTTATCTTCCAAACGAGAATATATATATACTTCAACGAATAAAATACGTTCGAACGAACCCTAAGTCATATTTTTTTAATTAGTGGCGGTTTTTCCTTTCTCATTCTTTTGTTTTTTATTTAGTTTTTTCTATTCAATGTACACTTATTTTCAACCATAATTTGCCATACTTTTTGTTTTTTTAAATGTTTCTGGTCCAGTAAATTCTCATGGTCTATGGCAAAGCCAAGAAATGAAAATTAAAGAGGCAAAAAAAGTTCTTTCAAAAATTAAAAGAGGGAATAAAATAAAAAAATACAATATTTTAAGGGAGAAACGAAAAAATTTCAGAAATTGTAGAGGTTTTTTTTTTTTTTTTTTTTGCTAAAAGGCCACCAATAGCAATCCTTTCCTCTTAATTTTTGTTTGTGTTTTATCTCCTTTTAATATGGAAGTGTTCTTCTTCTTTGTTGAGGCCAGTTTTTGTGATGTTTGTCCTTTGCACTCCCTTTTTTCCGGTCCACAATACAACATGGATTATTAATTCCTAGTTGGATATAAACTTAATTAGTTCTTCATGCGCGTGTAATTAGTGTATTTTTAGCAAATTTTTGAAAAAGCTATAGGTTTGGAAAAAGTTTTTATCCTCCAATTTAAAAAAAAGACTAGTTACTATGTATATTTTGCATCTTTTACCAAATATTTCTAAATAAAAGATTTCAACTTGTATATTATTTTATTTTTCATTTTCTTTACGAGAATATTAATAAATCAATTTAGCTATTATTAATGAAATTGCTTAATTTTTTTTATTAAACAAAATGAAGTCAAACTAAATATCTATATCTATAATATCTATCTAAAATTTAAAAATTAATAAACTATAATATAAAAGTGAAAATGAAGGGGAAATAAGTTAATGGGATTTGCGGATAATATCCTTAATGAAATTTTAATATTTTAAAAAATACCCTTAAATAATCGGAATCAAAAAATTATAATTTATTAGTTAATTAGGATATGATTTTATTGTTTAATAAATATGTATATAAAATGACACATTTGAAAAATTTTTATATTTTACTTTTTGAATTCATCATTTAATTTTTAATTATTTTTGATTATAAATTTTAAAGTATTTTATTTAGAAAGGAGAAGATAGAAAAAATATATTTTTTTATTAATATTCTTTTTTTTATGTTTGTATGAATTTTATTGGATTTTTCTTTAAAAATAAAAGAAACTGTTTTAGGAAAATTTTTTTGTTCATATAGAATAAAGTTTTAAAATATAATTTTCAAATTATATTACATATAAATATTTAATATTTAGATTATTTAGTTCTTTTTATAGAAAAATAATTAATTTCAACATAAATAAAATTGAGTACATGACAATGATTTATTATATTTTTTTTCTTCACTTTCTTCTTTTTCTTATAGATGATTATCTAAAAAATAAAATAGTTAACCCTCATAGTTTTCTCTTCTTTACTATAAAAATAATACGTGATATTTTTCTTTTATAATATTCGTAAGAATAATGCAAGATTATGGTAATAAAGGTGAAAATTTTTTGTACAATCATAAGAATTAAATAAAGTATTTACATGATCTAGATAGTTATTGGAAATATATTATATATATATATTAAAGTTTTAATTAGTTGATTGGCACATAATTTAATAGAAATTAATTTTTTTAAATAAATACATATAAATAATTAAGCATTCAAAATTTTTAATTTTATTTTTTAATAAATATATATGACAATTTAAATTTTTATATTTGTTTTTTAAATTAATTAATTATTTTATTTTATTTTGATTATAGTTCAAAGTATTTTATTTAGGAAGGAGATAAAGATAGAAAAAAAAATATTTTTATTAATATTCTTTTTTTTTTCTTTGTGTTTGTATGATTTGAATGCTTAATTATTTGGATATATTTTTTTAAAAATAAATTTTCAAAATAGAGTAAATTTTTAAATATAAATTTTTTAAATTATATTACATATAAATATTCTAATATTTAATTATTTTAGTTCTTTCTCTAGAAAAAATAATATAATTTCATAAAAAAGTGGTGTATATTTAATTTTTTTCTTCACTTTCTTTTTCTTATAGACGATTATCTAAGATAAAAAACCGTTACCTAATATTTTTTTTCTTTTTTATTATAGAAAAGAATATGTAATTTTTTTTTATAATACTCTTAGAAGTAATCAAATTATGGCAATAAAAGTAAAAAAAAATCTTATACAATAATAAGAATAATAAATATTTAATTGATCTAATAAAAAAATCTTATACAAGGACCTAAGAAACTTAGTCACACTAGTTTTTACAAAGGATTAGAAAACTTAGATTGTTTTGCAAAGAACAATCAAACTTACAAGTTTTACTCTAACACTAAGAAGGGTGCTCGAGAGCCCATACTAATAAGCTTTACACAAAGTCTTTTACTTACAACAATTTGAAATTAAAAGAGTTCTAATCTATTCTAGATTTACAAAATTTATGATAGATAGAATGATATGCCAAATTAAGTTTAGGAAAAAAACTTTTATAAATGAAATATATTAGTTTTGAATATCTCTTTCTAAGGATCGTTGTAACTTTCTCTTAGAATTTATGCAATGAAAGCATGAAGAAGAAGGAATGACGACGAGAGAGTTTGTAAGATAAAAATATAAAATCAGTTTTATCTCTCATGCCTTTAAAATTTCTGCCAAACTATATTTTATACCCCAAATTCTTTTCTTCCCATTAGACACAGTCACATTAATGTTAGAAAGGAAAAAAAATAATTAAGAAGTAGAGAAGTTGGCCACATATTTTGGGGAAAAGAGGGGAGGATTTGGAAAGATATTTCCTAAGAAAGATTTCAAATTAAAAATTACTTTCCTCAAAAATCTTTTTAGATCACACTTTGAAAGATTCAAATTTTGGAATACAATTTGTCAAATGGAATCTTTGCTCTAAGATTTTCAAACATTAATTTAAGCAAATAAAATCTTTTAGATAAGAAGATATTTGAAAAACTAAAAAAAAGAGGTATTTTTATATGGTCTTAATATGTCGTATAAATCTTCTTTCTATTTTAACAAGATACTAAATAATCCTAAAATACCCAAAGGCACTAACCAAATAGACTTTAATTTTTCATGAATGCCTTAAGTCTTGATCTTCTATAGGATTAATTGGATCTCACTTGATGAATTTCTCCATTTAAATTTCTACAAAAGACTTTAGCACAATCTACATAATAAATCTTCAATATATTATTTTTATTAACCATCAAAATAGAGTATTGTAACCACCTTGAGCCAACAAGATATAAATTAAATATGGTAAGAATATAATATTTTTAAGGATTTTAATTTTATTCGTTAAAAAATATAGATAATTGAATTTTGATCGGTTAAATTATACTATATAAGTTATATGTCAAATATAGTAAGAACATGACATTTTTTATTATTATTTTTAATAAATCTTTAATTTGATTGATTATAATTATTTCCTATAAGAAATTTTTCAATAAAAAATAAATGTAATTTATTTATTATTTACTAAAGAATATATTATAAGAGTTATAGTTTGATATAAAATAGAAAATAAAACTCACTAGAAAATAAAACTCACTTAGGAAATATATATAAAATTATAAAAACTAGAAATATATATAAAATATAAAATTATGGTATACGTTATATTAACAAATCATATAATACATTCAAAATTTTTTTTTTCTTAAAAAAAAAGCAACCAAAACATTAGTTGTATGTTCATATACTTTAATAAAAAAGAAAAAATGTTAAAAATATAAATGTTGTTCTAAAAAAAATGATTACTATATTAGTTATTATAATAAGTAATATTGATTTCTCATATTTTAGTAATATAAAAAGTTTATGGTATTATTTTGTATACTAAAAATTAGTTAATTATTATAAGAAAATCTAAATGGTTGGTAAGTAATTTTATTTCATGAAAATTTAATTGGCAAGTTATAATAATATTTATTTATTTATTATCAATATGTTATTTCCTTAACATGTTATTTAATTATTGAATTTTTTATTTTATCATTTCATAAAATTTCCTTTTTGATTTTATTATTTTATTAACAATAAGAATTGATAAAAAAAATTTAAATTAAATAACAACTACCTGCAATTTGTAATATCAACGAATCCAAACAATATATTCGGAAAAAACCAGATATATTTAAAAAACCAATTAAGTCAAACTCGAACAATAAAATTATTATTTAACAATGGGAAGATTGGAATTTTAAAAAAAACAAGAAAATAAAAATGTGTATAAACTCTGTTGTAGTCTGACTAAATATAATAGTCTGACTAATATAATAATAATAATAATAAAAATAAAAGAGAGACAAAATGTGTGGCGTTGATGTTATACTTGCTTATATCGATCATAATTTTACCATGATTAAATCAATGAAAACAGTGATTTTTTAAATATTATTTTTACTTTATCTATTTTTTTTATTTATGGTAAAAAAATATTTTCATTTTAATAAAAATATATTTTTCGTTGGTTTGGTTTGGTAACATGAATAAGCTTATAAACCCGTCCAGGGAAGTCAATGTTGGTGTTCACAGGCTGATCATACTCCACTTATAGGCCTTTTATATCTTCTATTTTTTCTGCTCTCTCTGCTACAAGAGACATAGATGGCCCAAAACAGATCACAGTGGCCGGAGCTGCCATGGAAACCTAAGCTCTCCTAGTATTTTTTAGGCTTCTTATCTGACGTTGTCCGTCTCTCTGGTGGGTCCTTCAACCGTTTTCCGATGAGCTTTTTCAACTTTAGAACTTCTTCATCCAAGAAACCAATCAAAGGCGTCAAAACCACTGATATCACCGTTGATAAGAAGCGAAACCTATGGTTTCGCCTCTACAGTCCCAGTTCCCAGTGCAACCCTATGGTTTCGCCTCTACAGTCCCAGTGCAACCACCACCACAAATGGCGGTGGCTTGCCAGTTATTTTTTTCATCCACGGCGGTGGTTTTACTCTGTTTGCACCCAATTCAAAACCTTACGATGACTTTTGCTACCGTCTTGCTCGCGAACTGTCTGCTATAATTATTTCTGTCAACTATCGGCTTCTTCCGGAGCATCGCTATCCATGCCAATTCGACGATGCTCTTGATGCTCTGAAATTCATAGATAATTCAAGAATAGAAGGCTTTTCAAGCCAAGCCAATCTAAAACAGTGTTTTATGGCAGGAGATAGTGCAGGAAGCAACATCGTGCATAATGTAATACTAAAAGCAAGTAAGTGTGAATTTTCTAATATAAAAATAATTGGAAACATATCGATCCAGCCCTTTTTCGGAGGAGAAGAGAGAACCGAGTCCGAGTTAAGGCTTACAAAAGCTTTATTTGTTAGTACAGCACGTACAGATTGGATATGGAGGTCATTCTTGCCGGACGGGTCAAACCGGGACCATCCAGCAGTGAATGTATTTGGACCTAATTATTCGGTTGACATTACCGGAATGAAGTTTCCGGCAACGATTGTTTTTGTGGGTGGATATGATCCTTTACAGGATTGGCAAAAGAAGTATTGATATGATCCTTTACAGGATTGGCAAAAGAAGTATTATGAAGGGTTGAAGAAATGTGGGAAAGAAGCTTATTTGGTAGAATATCCAAATGCTCCTCATGGATTTTATGTTTTTCCTGAGTTGCCTGAATCTGATTTGTTCATTACGAAAGTGAAGGACTTCATGCAAAAGCAATTAGCAATTTAGAACAGATTATGTATTTAGAAGAATAATTGGTCTATAATTATCATCAAATGTGTGAAATGAGTGTTAATGTAATTTATTTCCATTTTTCTTTTCAAATCCCCTCCTTTTAATCCAATTTCAAGTTGGGGACTATAATTAGTTTCTATAGCTAACATATATGCAACTTATTGAAGTATGGGCTGTACTTGTATGGTAGCAAGCTTGAAACAGAAAAAAAAATTTAAAAAAGAAAAAAAGAAAACTTGTATAGACTTGATTTTATGTGTTCACTTGTGAACCCAACAATTAAAATGGAGATTTTTTTAAGAAAAAATTTTCTTACTTTATCCTTTTTTTTTTTCTCACTTGAAAATATCTCATTTAAAATAATTATGTTTCATTAGTTTGGTTTATAAATTAAGTCATTCTCAAAAAAAAAAAAAAAAAAAAAAAAGCTTCATTGTTTTATTTTTCTTGTGAGAATAAAAAAAAAAAAAAAAAAAAAAAATGCACGGGTTGCTCAATTGTTATTGTTTCTTGTGAGAATTTTAATGTTTTACTTCATCTTAATCTTTGAGTGCCTTACATCTATGGGCCGTGCACCATTATTTATTTATTTATTTATTTCATATATATGAGAGGCGTAATGTATTGGAATAGGACTACATAATAGGGGTAACACTCTTCTTTAATAATATTTATCAAATTGGTAATAACTTCTATGATGGAGAGGACAAATAGTTGATTTATAGATAAAATTGAGAAAAATTTTAAGACTTAAGACTTTGAAGGTAATTATTGAAATTAAATAACAATCTCTTCGGTAAAAATGAATTCAAAATATGGAATTTATTTACAAATGAATTTTAGATGAAATTTATTCATAAATGAATTTTTCATTTTTGCAATAAATTTAAAATTTAAAATTTATTTTTTTTTATTTCCAAAAATACTCTTGGCAGAATAATTTTAAAAGGTTAGGAGAATGAAAAAATTTTTCTTTTGAGAAAAATCAAACTAGAATTTCATTAATTAGAAACTGTAGACAAATATGGATACATATCAATATGTTTCTATATTTTTGTACAGGAAAGCCTAATAATAAACCACTTATATAAAGAATAAAAAAATAAAATCTTGATTTAAAATATCTAATCGAGTTGACAGAGCATAATATTTATACCGCGATCGCTTGCTTCACTTGGTGGTTATTCATGGTCACCGTTCAACTCCATAGTCTTTCTACAAGTCTGATCTAATTACCTTTAAATTTTTCCATTCTATTAGAGAGGAGATCTGTACTTCTTTCTGTATAACTATCCAAATAATAAAAGATATTAGACAAAATCACCATGATGGTGATAACAATAAAACAGAACTAGATTTGAGAACAAATTTCGATATATGGACAATAATAAATCTCAATATATAACTCAAATATCTAAACAGATCTGAAGATTATTTATAAAAAATAAAACAGAAAAAGAATAGGGGTGACCACCGATGAGAGCTCACTGGTGGGCGCCTGTTGAAGAAAAAAAGAGAGGTTTTAGGTTTTCTAGGAGAATGAAAAATTGTCAAAAAAGTTTGGATTAAGTTTGTGGAGTTCATTTAGACAATCTGTATTTTTTCGGTGGAATTTGGTTTAAGTATATTTAATTCTTTAGAATTGAATTTATAAAATTGAATATTTCAAATTTTAATACCAAAAATAAAATTATAAAATTATAAATGAATTTCATAAAATTTTATAAAATTCATTTATTCTAAAAAAGGATAAATTTCCAGTTTACAATTGTATACTTCTATTTTATAAGAGTTTCTAAAAATGCATGCCAAGATAAGTGTGGATTGTAATTTCCTTATACAGGTGCGGATCTACATAGTGGTCCCCCAAATTCTTAAAGATTTAATGTTTTGACTTATGTACATAATCTCCTTATCACTAAATACATAAATTACTTATTCCAAAAAAAAAAAAAAAAAAAAAAAAAAAATTTTTGTGCACTTCTCTACATTAATGGAAATAATTTTCAAGATTTTTCGCTTTTATATACTTAATATTTACTTAATGTGTAATTAATATAATTTTTGAAATAATAATTTTTACATTTTTAATTATTTTAACAAGCATTTAATTTATTTAATTTGTAAATTAGAGAGCATCACAAGGTTTTCTAATAAATAGTAGGAAGGTAATTAATTGAATTTATCCATTTTGTCATATATTGATGGTGACCATTATTTAGACTTACTTATTCCGCTTATAATTTCTTTAGTTTTATAACAGTTGATTAATATATATTTGTGTTATCCCAAAATATCAATCATTTAAAGTTTTTATACGAAAATTAAGAAAGTAATTAATTTTTCAAAATTATACTATATTTGACAAAAAATAATTTGATTAAATTACTGTTTATTTTCAAATTAAGAGTAACTTGTGAATATAGTCAGGAAATAAAGACAATGATCGAAAAATATTATCCATTAATTATTTTTTAAAATATTTAAAATGATTTATATTTGACACAGAATGATGAAATGTATTTCTTTATTTGTTGTTTCATTATCTTTGATATAAAAAATAAAATAAAATAAAAGTGCTTCTACATACATGTAGTAATGCGATAAATAATAGATAGGAGGACTACCTTATAAGGACCATCCAGCTTCATTCAATTATAAATCCGTTTGGATAGGTGATTTACATTGGATATAACAACTCACATTACACCTACATGCCATTAATACTGATAGAGATGTGTTCAACTGCCACGTACTTTCCGCCAGCCAAATCTAAATTCTAAATTGCTGTTTTATTTATATAGAGATTTTTTTTTACGTCGTTTTTTTATATAGAGAAAATTTAGGGATGTAATTTAAATTGGAATATTTAAATCGAAAATTTCAAACTAAATGTTAATTTGGAATACGAAATTTAAATGGAATGTAATTTTTAAAATGGAATGGAATATCTTAAACATATAACAAAGGAAGAGCTAAAGATGAAGAGAAAAAACATAAATTCATTACTCACAATAAAAGGATTTTCAAAGCATAAAAAACCAAAGGTTTTTTCTTCTTCCTCTTCATTCTCATAGCTGTCCAGCTCTCCGCTTTTTCTTTTTTTTTTTTATTTCCTTTTTCAAATCTGTTTACAGCAGCCACGTTTATACAAAGAAATGCAATCTAATTTTTACCAACTCTCTACCAGACCCAATAGCTTAAGCCAAACTAAACTAAGAAGTAAGCTTAGCTGCCATCATCTTGTTCAAGTTTACAAGAAAGGAAAATATCAAAAACACAAGATGAATGACATGGGACAGCCTAAGTGTCACTATTGCTAACAGTTTTGTCTTTAAAATGCACCTGATTTGTAGAAAAAGTTAGAAATTTGGTTCTTACATATATTTAATTTTTGTCAGTATATATTATATGATGTCGCAGGTTAACTAAACATATAATTTAAAATTAAACAGAAAAATATAATCAACTCATAATTTAAAAGTAACGGCAGTTTTTTTTTTTTTTTTAAATTTAGTGTGGCTCCAACTGGAGTATAAACTCATAATCTCGCAATTGTAGAGACAGTTTATTTGACAATAAAGATAAGAAAAAGGCCATTGTAAAAGGACAAAAATGCAATAAATAGAGAACTTAGATGTTAAAAAAAAAAAAAATCAACAGCTCACTTCAATTGCTTTTGCTTTCTCCTTCTCCTCATCATCCATGAAAGCTGTGATTGGAAAGGACTTTCCTATACCCATTGGAGTCTTGAAAGTTATTTTGTTGCTTTTTGGGTCTTCCATGCTCATTTCACTTATTGGTACCCACAAAAACAGTTGCTTGCTTTTAATGCCAGTCATTTTTTTCATTTTCAACTTCTCTATATAAGCAGTTACTTCAATAGCATAACTCACTTTAGTATTGGTTGCAGCAAAGAAATGCTCATAAGGAGCCTTTAGCTTCATCCACACATATCCAGTTTCTCTAACTCTTCCACATTCTTCAAGATCTTTCAATGGAAGAACACCTTTGGGAAACCCTAGTTCTTCGAGAAGTTCTAAAGAGTGGCGGTAGCAATTTTCAGCGCCGTAAACAACTTCTGCCCCTGCACGTTCATCTTCGGTTGGCCTGGTGCTAGCCATCTTTGAAGTAACCCTAAAATTGATTGTGATTTTTGATTTTGAATGATAAAGAGAAGCGGTGTTGGGTTATAAATAGATGGAGAGAATGAAGTTGTTAGTGGAGGTTGAACTGAATAGGTTTATTACATTTAGGCGGTTCACCTACCTTTCATGCACACAGCTAGTGAATGACAGGGTTGGTAGTTTGGTCACCTATTTGTTTATGTTTTCTTTGACTTTGCAAAAGACCTATTTTGAATGATTGTGAACTTGGTAAATGATACATACTGTGAAGTGCAAAGCTATTTAGAACAAAGTAGTAAATGAGCCAAGCCATTCATTAGCGCCTTCAAGCCTTAACTCAAAAGAAGTTTGTTTGTACTCATTCAACAAACTGTACGAGTTGGGCTCAAGTTTACTTCTCAAATACATTTAATAAATGAGCCGACCTCAAAATATTGGAATGAAGCTCGTAAACTGGCTTGAGAGCATTACTATCGAGCTTGATGAGCTTATAAATGAGCTACCCTAGATGCTAATCTGCATTGCTTCATTATATGGAACTGAAAGCTTGAAGGTAAGGTTCCCCCTTCACTCCAAACTCGAGTATTAAAGTTTAGCTACGGTGGTTATACTGATTTAGAACCTTACTATGAAGAATTTTGTTGTCTGAGTAAAGAAAATAACCTTAGGATGGCGTGTGGCAAGTAAGGAAAATGGTAGAAAATTTAAGAAAATGAAGATTGGAAGAAAATTATGGATTCTCTATCTTTCTCCATGGCTTTGGCGTACAACTATAGTAAGATGATAGGAGTATTATTTATCTTTTGAAATTTCCAGGAGTATCTTCACACCATTTAGATATGAGACCAATTTTATTTCGGAATTCATTGTTGCCCCTCCCTATTTTTCTTTTATTTTGTGATATAATGATTAATCTAACTTCTGGAATAAATGTTATATACCAATTAATTTTACAAGTTAAATTAATTTATCGACTCTATTATTCAATCATGCGATCATGTATGCCTAACTACTAGAACAAACTACCTTGAATCGTCGATTCATTATTAATTATTGAGTAATATGTATAATAACACCATTTTTTTTGTCATTATGATCTATAGGACAGAAATATGAAGATAAAAAAAAAAAAAAAACATTGTTTCCTTAATCTATAGAGAAAAATTGTATATATAGAAAATTTGTTTTCTCTTCTTTTAATTTGTAGGACCACCTTTCTTTCAATTTGAAAAGAAAATAGTTAGAGACAATCCTTTTTCCGCTCCCAAAATAGTGCTAATGACGTCTTGGAAATTTTGAGAAACAGTCCTGCTCAAGGCTATCTCAGACTTCTCAAAGTTAAGCCCGCTAATAGTCCTGGAGAGTCTTACCAAGTGTGTACGCCTGTTCCAATGTTGCTCTCTCAAAGATAATAATGTCATCAATAAAAAAGAGATGAGAGATGGATGGGCTACTCTGACAATCTGAATACCATGAAGAAAATGGTTCTGCTCTGCTGTTTGAATAAGACTTGAAAGAACTTCTGCACAGACAAGAAACAAATATGAGGAGAGGAGGTCTCCTTGCCGAAGACCTCTGTTAGGCATAAAAAATTCCTGTGGTTCTCCATTAACAAGTACCGAGCAGGACACAGTTGTTAAACAATTCATAACTAGTTTAACCCATTTAATCTCAATTTAAGCATAGCACTTTCATAGAAAGACCGCTCCACTCTGATCATATGCCTTTACTCATATCTAATTTGCAAGCAAAAAAAATCTATAATAAATGATAATTAAGCACAAGTCATATGTACTAATAGGCATAACTAATATATAAACGAATTTTTAGTCCAGTTATAATGATTTTAATGTACGATGAAAAACTAAGCACGACATTAGAAATATATATAAAATTATTATATTTAGAGAAATAAATCATGGGATTTTTAAATTTTGACTTAATTGGCACTTGAGGACTTCTATGTTCGAAAAGCAATTACAGCATCTTTAAATTTTGAGTCTGTCAATAACTTGGTCCTTCCGTGTAAAACATCCACTTTTAACCGTTACATTAATATGTAAATACCAAAATGCCCTCATATGCATTGCACGTGATGGTGCCAATGGTTTCAAGAACTGGGATTTCGCCATGGAACTTCAAACCAAAAGCTGGTAAACTCACTGCTTCATGGAAATTAATAACAAGTAAGACCGAAGAGCAAACTGAGAGCTGCAAGTACTAAAATCAAACTCAACAAGTTCAAATATCGATTAAATTTAAGCTCTAAAAAGCATCAAACAATATAAGAATAAAATCAAATCCAATAAGTCCTTAAGTAAACTAAAAAGCTGTAAATAGTATAAAACAGCAAGAAGCTATACAAAAACATAATTTGAACACAAAAACAGTACTGAAAAGTGCAAGCAATGAAGGAAAAATAGATAACTCAATTGTACAAATAAAATGAGTACCATGTTTTGAAGCCAGACTTGTGGAGATGAAAAATGGAGAGGCTCCCAATAGTTGAAAACCTCATCACAATCATGTATCATGTTTGATATAGCCCTTATGTATCTTAGCATTTCCAAAGCAAATAGAAGCAAGAGTCATCCTAATCTCTTTCCCTCCTTTCAACTGCTATTTAGTCTCACAAATTTATCAGTTTCCTAGTATGACTCCGATGAAGATGAAGTTAAATTGGACGGTAGTGGATGTCGAGAGCCATGACAGTTCTAGTGATCTCTCTTTCTCTATATTTTTTCTAATGATTACGATACATCTATCTCTCCAGTCCTCACCAAGGACATACCATTAACCCCACTCACCAAAGCTTGCTATGAATATATCTTCCACAGCGAGCGCTTAACTCTGTCTCCAACATCGACAACATACTTCCTCTCGTAGTTTACTGTCACCTTGGTGCAAACTTTCTATACACGAATCAGAAAAGAAAGCGTCGGCTTCCACCAATAACGAATCTGAACGGAAAAACCAATCGGTGAACGAGTTGAACTCCTTCGGCTCAGGTGATAAAACTGGGAAGAAGGACGGAGTTTAAAGTGTATCTGGGGTTTATTGGGATTTAATTTTTTTTCTCTTGTTTGACCCACCTAAATTGCTAAGACTAACAGATAAAATTTATAATCTTAGACGGAATGATCAAGCTATCTATGTAATTAAAATTTAAGTACTTAGTAATTGCTTTTCAAACATAGAGTCCTAGTGTTTATTAGGCCCAAAAATTTGAGATACTAATATTTTTTCCCCTTATATATAATATTATTATAAGTAAAAAATTAAACTTCGAACGGAATCTACAAAATAATGATGCTAATCAACACAATGTTTAATTTAACATAATTATAAATTAATATTTTATTTTATTTTATCAATTAAAAATATAAAATTATATAAGAAGGATCCACGTAAAGCACACGTTTTGAAATACTAGTATAAAAAAGTATGAGTTGGTCACTATAACGACTAATCTTAGAACTAGACCAAAAGAAAAAAACTTACTCCTCAGGTGAATCAAAATTCTAAAAAGCCTTATACTGAATTAGAAACAAAAATAAATAAAATATAATTTCAATAAAGGGGAACAATTAAAAATAAGATAAAAGATGTTTTAATTTTTTATTAAAAATTAAGAACAAAAATATAATTTTTAGCGAAAGACTTAATTATTAGTTTGACAGAATAATTAATTTTTGAAAAGATAGTTTTCTCAAAAAAAAAAAAAAAAAAATCTTAAAAAAAACATAGACTGAGTTGTTAATTTTATCCTTTCAAAACATAAAAGTTGTTAATTTTTATCAAACCATAAATAGTACTCCTAGAGTAATTGAAATTATAATACTTCATTATTCCGTTTTGTTTACTTGTTATTTCTTTTTTGAATGTCTTAAAATGTTTACAAAATTTCTAAATTTATATATACAAGCAATTGTTTTTCTCATGATAACTTTTATTAATATATTAACGAGTTACGAGTAAAAAAGGGTAAAATAACTTTTATTTATTAAATTTAATATATATACTTTGTCAAATCATGCAAACAAAATTGGAGGAATAGTATTTGTTTATATTAGTATTCGATTTTATGTGTACGTGTTTTAATGAATAAATTTAGACTCAATTAATTCAAAACTAAAATTTTATTTTGGAGAAGAATTCAGAATTAAAAATTTAAAAATCAATTTAGCCGACAAAATTTTTATTAAGTAAAATTGTAAGAGATAAAAAGCTGCACATGTCTTTCCATTGTACTACTTCCTTATTTTTTATTTTGAGATCATCAAACATTGTAGATTTTCCAGAATAGAAGACCAATAAGAAGATAAACAAAAACTAACCATTATAAAATTCTTTTTAGATAGCAATTAGGGACTTATGGGAAACGTGCATCCATGACCCAACTCTTCCACTTCCCCTAGAGTGACGACTCTTTATTTACCACAATCTATTTCCTCTGTCTATGTGGAAACAAAGTAAAGCTTGCATTGCATGTAGACTGAAACAGACTGGAAAAGAAAACAATGGAAGGTCAGGGTTCAAGAGCAAAAGAGAGAATTTGCACGAAAAAAAGCTTGATTGATGAAATTTTTTCTTGGTCACCTGATGATATTTTCAATGAAGAGCTCTTCAAAGAAGAGGTTTTTTTTTTTTTTTTTTTTGGCCGTAATTGATAATTCTATATAATTTTGTAATTTTTCTGTAGGTGAAGAAAATACCTGAGTCATTTCAGGATTTGGAGGAATATTTAATGTCATTTTTATATCCATTGTTAGAGGAAACAAGAGCAGAACTGTGTTTAAGTCTTGAAAACATCTCTAGAGCTCCTTATGCTGAAGTGGGATCAAATAGTTCCAAACAAAATGGAGAACTGTTATATGACATCAAGATTGATTACTGGAAAAACAGGTCTGGGAGTGTAAATGGAGAAGATAAGCCTTATAGAATATTGCCTGGAGATATTTTTGTTTTTACAGATGCTAAACCTGAAACTATTTCTGATTGGCAAGGAAAGGAATGGGTATGTTTGGCTAAACTTATAAAATATGATAATGGAACTGGTTTCCAAGTCAAGGCTTCTAAAGAAATTGAAGTTAAGTTTTTGTCAGGAAGGCCTTTGTTTGTTGTTTTCTTGATGAATATCAGGAAAAATGAAAGAATATCGAATTCATTGCAAATGGATGGAAATTTGAAAGTTAATATTGTCTATTGCAAGATTGACTGCAATAGTTAATAACAGGGCTAAAGGTTTCAATATAGTCCACACCTGGGCGTTGGTGAAAACCTTTAGCAACCAATCGTGCTTTGTGACGATCAATGGAACCATCTCGTTTAGTCTTAGTACGAAAGACCCATTTACACCCGATGACATTAGAAGCTTGTGAACGCGGTACTAAATCCCAAGTACCATTAGCCATGAGTGCATCAATCTCCTCAGACATGGCTTTGCGCCAAACTGGATGTTTGACTGCCTCAAGATACGTGGAAGGAGTGGCGAATGTGGTAATTGCTTGATAGGATTTTGGCTTAAGGCTCCCGGTTTTTGAACGTGTGACCATGGGATGGTGAGTAGGCTGAGTTGTTGTTTGGGTTGGTGGAGAATTAGCAGGTTGTAACAGTGGAATAGGATGTTGCGGTTGAGCAGTGGGTGGTGGTGGATTGTGGGTTATGGTTTCTGCAGGGGCTTCGTTGGGGACAATAAGACTAGCTGTATTGATTGGATGGAGCAGAAGTGGGCCACGAACAGAAGGCAAGGAAGGTGGAGGAATTGGCTTGACTAGAGATAATATTTGTGGCAAAGGTGGTGGTGAACCAAGGACAGAAGACCGGCCATCACTTTCTTTGAAAGGGAAAACCTGTTCATCAAATAAAACATGACGTGAGAAGAATATTTTATTTGTAGACCGTGAGAAGAATATTTTATTTGTAGACAAAGATAGACATTTATAACCTTTATGCAAGAGACTGTAACCAAGAAAGACACACTTTGATGAACGAGGTTCGAGCTTATTTTTTGTATATGGACGCAACCAAGGATAACAACAACAACCAAAGACACGAAAGAAATTGTAGTCCGGGTTACGCCGAAAAATTTTTTGGTATGGTGATTTATGATTAAGGGTTGGAGTGGGAAGTCTATTGATGGTGTAAACAGCAGCAGCAAATGCATGATCCCAAAATTTAGGTGGTACAGAAGCATGAATTAAGTAGGCTCGACCTATTTCGGTTATGTGACGGTGTTTTCTTTCCGCTTTCCGCACATCCATTTTGTTCAGGTGTGTTGGGGAACTTCTTTGAATTATTCCAGTTTCAGCCAAATATTTTTGAAGTGCTTGATATTCCCCTCCCCAATCAGATTGGAATTGTTTAATGGATTTCCCAAAAAATTTTTCGACGATTGCCCGGAACTTAATAAAACAGGAAAAAACATCAGATTTTTTTGGAATAAAGTAAATCCAAGAATATTTGGTATAATGATCAAAAAAGAGTACATAATAGAAACAACCATCAGAGGAAGGAATGGGCGCAGGACCCCATAAATCAGAACATATTAATTCTAATGGTTCTTTTGCAACAAATGAAGAATCAAAAAAAGGAAGTTTGTGTAAAAGGAAGTTTGTGTGATTTGCTAACACAACACGTTTCACACAAAGATTTATTCATACTACCAGAAGCAGACAAATTATTCAACAATAAGACTTTATTAATTGTTCTAGAACAAGCATGGCCTAAACGATCATACCAAGTTGATAATGAGACTAAATTGTAGGCTGGTGGAATAGCATCAAAAACTAAATGATAAAGACCGTCTTTAACTTGTCCCTTGTGAAGTAGCTGCCTCGTTCGAAGGTCCTTGATCACAAAAAAAATTAGGAAAGAATTCCAGTGAGACATCATTAGAAATGGAAATTTGACGAACAGATAATAGATTAGTGTTAGACTCAGGAACATGCAAAATAATGCAAAATTATGTTATACGACAAAGGTTCATGAGATTAAAGTATGAAGCGGAGCACGGTACGATCATTCCGATATGCAAGAAATCATGATATTGGGGTTATGAAACTGCTTTTTAGAGCCAATTTGTGAGAAGTTTACTTCACCATTGGTTCCAAGAGTATTCGGAATGGAATGCCCATGCCCAAGTTCTCCAATTCAGATGTCAAGTGATGAGTCGTTCCGCTGTCCATAATCCAAGGTTTATTAGAAGTTGTAGGTGATGAAGAATAGTTGCTGACAGGTTTGGAACTTTGGTTGTTGTATTTGGGACTGGGACAGAGGTTTGAGGTCTGACCCTGACCACCACAGGTGTAACAGGTCAGATTAAAGCTGTCAGTGTTTGTAGGAGTCCGTCCACGACCAGAATTGGATTGGTAACCACCACGTCGACCACCACGACCTCGTCCCCTCGATTGATAACCACCACGATTGTTTTGGCGATTAGTGTAATGACTGGTGAAGGAACAGCAGCATTAAAGCTTTGGAGTTGCATCTCTTCCGAAAGCAGAAGGCCAAAGAGATCATCAAAAGAAATCGATTGCAATCGGGCCTCTATGTTTCGTGTGAATGGCCTGTAATCTGAACCAAGACCTCGCAATATATGATCGATTAGATCATCTTCAGAGATAGGAGCATCAAGAGCAACCAGTTGGTCAAACAATTGCTTTGCACGGCTCATGTAGGTGGCAATAGGATCAGTGTCGCGAGATAGAGAATGAAGGGCATTTTTTATGGTTCTGATTTGTGCCCGAGATCCAGAAGCGTAAGTAGTTTGGAGGCGGCTCCAAGCTGCATATGCCGTGTTAGCACCAACGACCTGAGATAGAACCGATTCGGAGAGAGAGCTTAGAATCCAGCCTAGCACAGTTTGATCTTTGATAAACCATTCTTGATAGGCAGGATTTGGAGAATTGTTAATCTCTTTTGGAGGAGAAGTAACAGAGCCATCAACATGATGGAACAGCTGCTTGATGGAACAGCTGCTGACCATATAGAAGAGGAACTAATTGTGTTTTCCAAAGAATATAATTGGAGGAGGTGAGTTTGACAGTAACTTGATTGTGAATCGAAGGAATAGTGGAAGGTAAAATAGCCATTGGAACTGATGTAGAGTAACTAGCGGTTGAAGAGGGTGGTTGAGGAGCCAGGAATAGCAGAAAAAGAGATGAGAAAAAAAATATTGGTGTTGAAACCTTAATTGGGCTCTGATACCATGAAAGAATAAAATTTCCTTGTAAACATTGTACAACATCTGCAGCTGGTATTATTAGTCAATTTATATACAATTGCAGATGATAGTCAATTTATATACAATTGCAGATGAGGATTGTTGAAGAGCCAACAAACAGAATCCCTATAAACTAGGATAGTTTACAACAGGTTTGACTAAACAAATATCCCTACAGAAAGGGAATTTACAACAGAAATGTGACTTGAACAGATGCACACCAGATACAGCTAGGTAGGCTGCTTATCACTTTAAGTATTTTGCTTTACATTCTCTTGAAAATGGAATGTAGGACCCTAGTCTATGCACCAACTGAGGTTGCTATTGCAGAATTGGCATCTCGTGTTTTGAAGCTGTTAAAAGAGTCTAATGCATTGAGTTCAGTCAGCAGGATTCTCTATTTTGGGGATAATACCGTGCCAAGTGTTAATGCAGACATTCAAGAGATTTGTTTGGATCAAGTTGGAAGTGAAGATAATTTTTTACAAATAAGAAGTGCTTCCTTAATATTTTGCACTGCTTCAAGTTCATACAAGCTATGTTCAGTGCTAACAGAGGCACCAAGATTATTAGTTATTGATGAGGCAGCACAATTGAAAGAGTGCGAGTCAGTGATACCATTACAGCTTCCTGGTGTTAGACACACTGTGCTTTTTGGTGATCACTGTCAGCAAATGGCAAAAGTTACTAGTAATGTAAGTATTGGCTTTTGTTCTTGCCTTCTACTATTTTTTTTCCCTGTTCTAATTTCTTTTTCCATTTCTTTTAATAGGTGTCTGGTAGAGCTGCATTTGGAAGAAGTTTGTTTGAAAGATTGCTTTCAATTGGTCATTCAAAGCATATTCTGAATATGCAATACAGAATGCATCCATTTATCAGTTATCTTCCAAATTCGGAATTCTATTGCAACCAAATTTCGAATGCTCCCAGTAAATGTTATTCAAAGTGCTTTCTTTCAAGTCCAATGTTTGGTCCTTACTCTTTTATAAACGTTACTTGTGGAATAGAAGAAGTGGATAGCTTGAAATATGACTTTAAAAATTTGGTTGAAGTAGCAATAGTGATAAAAATGGTGCGAAAATTGTTTAAAGGTGCCAACTTTTTGTCTCGTATTCTTTTCTTTGACTTTGTTGCGAATGAAGAAATGAATGGTTTTACTTATCTTTGTTCTTTTCTTTTTTCTAATTATTTGCTTTTAAAGCATGGAGCGGATCAAAGCAGAAGCTTAGTGTTGGAATTGCTTCTCCCTACACTGCCCAAGTTGTTGCAATTAAGGAAAAAGTTGGGCGGAAGTATGAAAGCCTTGATGGATTTTCGCTGAAAGTTAATACAATCGATGGATTCCAAGGTGGAGAAGAAGATGTAATGATATTATCTACTGTAAGATCTAATACTGATGAATCAGTTGGGTTAATTTTCAATCGGCAAAGAACTAATTTAGCCCTGACAAGGGCGAGGTATGATTTCTTTTTGTTTTAACATCACCTGGACTTTCTATGCATAAAATATGCAAAATGATGACTTTTTAACTAATGATATTGCAGAAGCTGCTTTTGGATTGTGGGAGATGGAAAAGCACTTTCTAATATTAATTCAGTTTGGAAATTGATAGTCCAAGACGCCAAGGATCGTCAGTGTTTTTATAATGCTGAAGAAGATGAGGAATTGGCTAATGTTGTGTTAGAGGTGAAGGAAGAGCTTAATCAGTTTTATGATATCCTAAATGCTGATGGTATGCTTTTCAAAAATGCAAGATGGAAGGTACCCATTTTCTCTCAAAATTAATTTTATTTTTATATAGTAATCATTTACTCCCAACATTGATTTTATTTTGCCTTCATTGTTATCAGGTTATATTCAGTGATATCTTCAAACAATCATTTCAAAAGTTGAAGCCTTTAGAAACAAAAAAGCTAGTTATCAATTTGTTACTGAGGCTTTCTTGTGGCTGGCGACCAAAGAGGAGGAATACAAATTTAGCTTCTGATAACTCTTTTCAGATGTTGAAACTTTTCAAGGTCAAACATCTGCACATTATATGCACAACTGACATTACGAAGGACCTAGAATACACCCAAGTCTTGAAGATATGGGATATTTTGCCCTTAGAGGTTATTCCAAATTTGGCTAAACGTCTCAATTCTGTTTTTGAATCTTATACTGATGGTTTTATTAATCGTTGCAAGTTCAAGTTTCTGGAGGGGTATGCACATTCTGCTTTCCAGTAGACTCTAAATTTCAGTACCACTCATAGCCCACCTGATTCAAGTTTTATTTTACTTGCTCATCTTTCTTTTTAATAATTTTTTTTTTTTTTTTTTTTTTTTTTTTTTTTTTTTTTTTTTTTTTTTTTTTTTTTTTTTTTTTTTTTTTGCTTCTGAGTTTAGTGATTTAGAGTTTCCAATGAGTTGGTCCTCCTATGTTGCCCGTTACAAGGACCCAGTTCAAAGAGGAAATGATTCAAGAACTAGTGATTCTGATGAAACAGGCTGTGTCGAGATTTGCAAAGCAAGTGATAGTCTGTTACATATGAAGTTCTATGCTTTATCTAGTGGTGTCGTGAGCCATTTGCTTACTGGATGTGATGGAAATGAAATGGATTTCCCATTTGAACTAACGGATGAAGAAATGGAAGTTATCCATTTCCGTAAAAGCTCCTTTATCCTGGGGAGATCAGGAACAGGAAAAACAACTGTTTTGATTATGAAGTTATTTCAAAGGGAGCAGCTTTACCATCTAGCTTCAGAAGGATATCATGAAGTTGAAAGCAGTTCTACCAATAATGTTAGCTGTGGAAGTGAAGTACAGAAAAAGGAAAATATTCTGAGACAAATCTTTGTAACAGTCAATGTTCGACTTTGCTATGCTGTTAGTGAGTACATTTCTCGCTTAAAAAGGTATAATATTTCATAAGTGAATATATATTTCCAAGTACTTTAGTTATGCATACATATATGTTTTATATTTTTGCAATTTTATTGTTACAGATCAACTTGTGGTTGAAATACCTCAGAGGGAGGCTCTCAGGCTGAGTTGGAAGATATAGATGAGATGTCGCTATTTTCAGATATTCCTGATTCTTTTGCTGATCTTTCGCCATGCTCATATCCTCTAGTTATAACATTTAACAAATTCCTGATGATGTTGAATGGAACAGTAGGCAGGTCTTTTTTTGAAAGATTTCCTGAACTTAGGATATTTTATCAGGAGAAGAGAAAAAATTCTAGATCCACGGCCTTAAAGACCTTTATCAGAACAAAGGAGGTTCGTTATGACAAGTTCTGCTCATCTTACTGGCAACATTTCAGTCAACAGCTAACAAAGAAACTTGATCCATCAACAGTTTTTGCTGAAATCATTTCTCACATAAAAGGAGGTCTGTGGGTTGGGGATCATGATGATAAACTCAGTAGGGAAGATTATATATCATATTCTCAGCGTAGGTTGTCTCACTTAACCGAACAAGAAAGAAGTAGAATTTATGATATTTTTCTTGAATATGAAAAGAAAAAGAAAACAAATGGTGAGTTTGACTTGTCTGATTTGGTACTTGACCTGCACCAACGGCTTAGAAAGGAGATATTTGAGGCTGAGAAAATGGATTTTGTGTATATAGATGAAGTGCAGGATTTGACAATCAGACAAATTTCACTTTTCAAGTATATATGCAGAAATTTTGAGGAAGGGTTTGTTTTTTCAGGTGATACTGCCCAAACTATTGCACGAGGGGTTGATTTTAGGTTCCAGGATATAAAAACCTTGTTCTATAAAGAGTTTGGAGCCTGTGAAAGAACAGGAAAGGGAAAAATTACTGACTTGTTTCATTTGAGGCAGAATTTCCGAACTCATGCTGGTGTTTTGAAGTTAGCTAATAGTGTTCTTGATCTTGTTCTCCATTTCTTTCCTTCATCTATTGATAAATTGGACCCTGAAACAAGTCTTATAAGTGGTGAAAAACCGGTATGGGTTCAGATGAAAAATGGAGAAAATGCATTAGCATCATTCTTCAAAGGCAGCAACATTGACAATGGACTTAAGGGGTTTGGAGCTGAACAGGTCATTTTAGTCAGAGATGAAAGTGCAAGGAATGAAGTTCTCAGCCATGTAGGTAAGCAAGCACTTGTGTTGACAGTAATAGAGTGCAAAGGCTTAGAGTTTCAGGTAAGATTACTTCTGTTGATATATATTTGACATATAATAATCTCTACTTTCCTTGATATAGTTCTCTATCATATTACTCCACTTTTTTAACTCTTGTGATCCTTTAATGCTTTATTTAGGATGTGTTGCTGTACAACTTTTTTAGCTCTTCTCTTTTGAAGGATCAATTGGAAGTTATATATGGATATATGGAAAAGCAAAATTTGCTCAAGTTCACTGCAGAAAAGCCCTTTCCAATTTTCAATGAGGGAACACACACGCCCTTGTGCTCAGAGCTGAAGCAATTATATGTTGCCATCACTCGGACAAGGCAAAGGTTGTGGATATTTGAGAATCAATGTTGCTCTATGTTTAACTACTGGGAGAAACTATGCCTTGTTCAAGTTCGGGAATTGGATAAAAATTTTCTACAGGAGATTCAAGTTGCAAGCAGTCAAAAAGAGTGGAAAGCTCGTGGTATGAAGGTTAGTTGATTTTTTTCTGCGACCAGTAGCAATTTTTTTGTATTGTTCAAACAGCCAGGCTTGATAAACTGTGACTTATTCTTTGGTTATTTTACAGTTCTTTCACCAGCAAAACTATGACAAGGCAAGATTTTGCTTTGAAAGGGCAGAAGAAAGATACCTGGAAAAGCTGGCAATGGCTGCAGGCCATGTATATACTGCTGATCATATAAGGAATTTAGATCCCAGAACAGCACGCAAGCATCTTACTGAGGCTGCTCATATTTATGAGTTTATTGGCAAGAATGAATCTGCTGCCCAATGTTTCTTTGAATTACATGAATATGAAAAAGCAGGTATACATACATACATGATACATGCACATATTTTGCTTGAAAATTGATGTTTTTATACACACACACACACACACACACACACACACACACATTTTTAACTTCAATTCAAGCATCAGAATTCCATTCTTTTTCTGAGTTATATATGTATATATAATGTAAATCTTTGCAGGTATAATTTACTTGGAAAAGTGTGGGGAATCTAAGCTAAAAGAAGCCGGTGAATGTTTTCATCTGGCAGGATTTCATGAAAAAGCAGCTAAAATATATGCTAGGTGCAGATCCTTCTCTAAATGCTTATCGGTGTGTGTTGATGGGAAATTATTTCTGGTGGGGTATCAGTATATCAAAGTCTGGAAAGAGAACAATTTCCAATTTCCTAAGAGTGAAGAAGTTCAGACGTTCTTGGAGAGAGGGGCACTCTATTTTCATAAGCTTAGGGATTCTGAATCCATGATGATATTTCTGAAATCTTTTGAATCTAAGAATCAAATGCGTACTTTCTTGAAAAGTGTAGATCGCCTTGATGAACTTCTATCCTTAGAAAAAGAGTGGGGCAACTTTTTGGAAGCTGCAAATGTTGCAGAAATGAAAGGTGATGTTCTTCTTCAAGTTGATCTGCTAGAGATGGCTGGAGAATTTAAAGGAGCATCCAACGTCATCCTCTTCTATGTGCTTTACAGCTCTCTTTGGAGGCAAGGAAGCAAAGGTTGGCCTTTGAAGCATTTTGTGGAAAAAGACGAGCTTTTGAAGAAAGCTAAAAGTTTTGCAAAGAATGCTTCACCTGATTTCTACGATTTTGTTTGTATTGTAGCAAACATTTTGTCAGGTGAAAAAGACAACTTACTTGAGTTGAACAAATGTTGGAATGATGCTTGGAGACATGGAAGTGTTAGAAGTAAAATTTTATGTGCTCGAAAAATTCTTGATGCTTACCTATATCCAGGCACATTAGAGAATAAGTGGGAGAATACTTTGTTTGTCGATCTACTACTGTACACAGAAAACAGAATATCCTGGAGATATATTTCTGTTGTAACTCTAGTTGAACGCTGGAGTTTTTGGAAAGATGAAATTGAGAAAATTTTGTCATATGTAAAGGATGATAGCAGTGGAGATTCTTATGGGGAATTCTTGATGAGCTACTTTGGTGTCATTAAGCAGTCGAAGAATGAGAAAACAATGTATCTTTTGCTTTGTCCTGATGCAGCATGGATTAAGGATTTTAATCTTCATTGTTTTAACAGAAATGGGAAATCATGGATTGAGGCCAGCCAGCTGGTTTATGCTGCTAAAAGTTATTGGTCTTCTGAAATGCTTACTGTCGGTTTGAAGGTGCTTGAACTTCTTGAAGAACTTTATGTATTTTCAGTCAATAAAGCCTTGTCTATATATTGCAAATGCATGCTTCTAACTCAAATCTTCGAGGTTTCGAAGCCTTTGGTTGAGTCAAATTTATTGAGCAACAAGGTGCAAAGATTTCTTAGAATTCCTATGGAGAACTTCTTTGGTCTTATCTATCCACTGGATTGGCGAATGCCGTTGACAAAAGATATGATTTGTCTAAGAGAAGCAGGTACTTCCAGGAATTTATTGAAGGAAGTTTTCAATAGGATCATTAGCTCAAAGCCTGAAACAAGTGCACAAATTGGAGAGCTAATGATGATTCTTCTTTCCAGAAAATTTTCACCTGATCTATATGTCCAGATTGAAGCAAGCTGTGGTACTAGTATATCATGGCAAGTGTTCATCAAGAATTTCAGAAGAACAATGAAACCTCATGATCCCATTCAAGATACAGAAGAGGTTTCTCTGGTTCAAAGTTTCCATAGAGCTCTAGAAGATACTGATTATACCAATTATTCACCGACTTGCTATTTGTATCTTCTTGATCGCCTCGTGTTCATGGTATCTTATTTGAAAGGTTACTTCTTTACAGCAAGGACTTCATTGGTTGAATGGCTTTTGTGCAAGGGTTGGAATGTTTACCCAAATTTGAATTTTGTTTCTGATGTGAAAGAGCAATCATTACTTGAAGTAATCGTTAAGTTCGTGGCTCGCTCGGTTCACGATATCCTTTACTGTGAGTTTTTTTCTAGTGAGCCTGCAAAATGGATGAAAAAGTACAATCTGCAGAGGGACTTCTATGGTTTGCTAGTGCTGAGATTATTTGTCATGCTTTGTCAATTATGCACCAACTTTGAAGTGCATTTTAGTTTGCTTTTCAATTTTCTTGATAAGGAACAAGTTACTCAGTTCTTACCATGGAAGTTTTACCAGTCACTGCGAAAGTTAAAGGAACATGACAGAAGAGAGAGAAAAATTGAAGCCGTTGCAGAAGCATTAAAAAGCATTGGAAACCCTCTTGTGATTGTCAGTCTAGGAATTTGTGCAGAAAATTATTTTCCGGATGCAATTGTTTTGTACTTGAATGTTCAACAAGACAGAAAAACCATTCTTGATACGTTATTGCCTAATAGGACACACAGAAAACAGACTTCCTGAATGATGCTTCAAGATTGAAGGTAATTGCTATAAAACTGCAACTTTCATATGTGTTAGTTAAATAAATAGTAGAAGTTCCTTTACTTCCTTTTACCAGGAACATATTTTCCAGTATTTTACTGACTTTATTGGGGATAAACTAGCCTGTTTATTCGTTAACTTCTCTTTTCCTTTTCTTTTTTGTTCAGTTTATATGAAGTTGATGACATTAAAATAGCTCCGAACTTTCTGAAGAAGTTGCAGATTAGAAGAGAGAGAATGTACCGATGTAATCTCTTATGGACCATATATCAATTTGTGATTTGCCATGTATGTATATAATCCTTTTTCTTTTCTTTTGCAAACTACTTAGTTTTATGTATATAAATATGATGGGATTGGTCATCTAAAGAAATGTTATTTAGCTGATGTTTGGTTAGGGATAAGTCAGACTGTAGGGAAGTGCAACTTACGTGAAGTGCACAAAATACTTGTGTTTGGTTTGCATTATCAATTCTACTTCCTGAAAAGTAGATCATGCAACTTTCCTTTCACAAGGGAAGTAAGTTCCTTAGATACGGATAGAGAAGTTGCGATTCGCTAGTTAAGTGTAATACATTTACCAGTTTATCCTATTATCTAAATTCACTCAAATTTATATTATAGACATTATTTTATTTATAGTTTGATAGCAATTTACTTCCTAAAAAGTTAATTTGCATATCAAACACATAAATTATACTTCCTAGGAAATGATTTTCCTTAAATCAGCCATTTTGAACCAAACAAGTTAGTATGGCATTGGATGAATTAATTAGATTTTCTAACATTATCTTGAGTACTAATTAGTGAAAAAGACTTATAGTATAATCTTGTTTGTGTATAAGTTTGTTTCTATTTCCATACAAACTAAGAAAAATTGATATTTAATATAGTTTGAACATTAAATTTCATCACATTTTCTTAATATATTTTTACACTAACATTAATATCTCTATTTGATTTCAATGAGAAAATTATTGATAACAAGGAAAATTAAATAAGTATATATTAGAGAATTAAAAAAATTAAATATAATACGGCATATAACTTGAAACTAATGAAGATAGAAAATAATCTTAATAAGGATAAAAATTTGCTTAACTCAATCTATGGATTTATTCATGGACCAAACTAAATACAATAGAGATTTTTTTTTAAAAAAAATTCACTTTATTCTTTTTTTTTCCAGAAAATTGTCAGAACACTCTCATTTCGAAAAAAAATAAAAATATTTTTCAAGAATTTAATTCATGAGTGAACCCATATAATTTATGAAAGTAATTCTCATCTCGCAAACTCAAAAAATAAAGCAAATAACACAATTTGAAACGTGTAGCAATTTTTATGTATTTGATTAGCTTGTAAATATCTTCGTAATTCAATATGATATTTTCATTTGAATTCCTAAGATTGTATTAGACCGTCTACATTTAAATGAATGAATTAAAAAATAAATAAAAAGAAGGTCAACAATGTGTGTTAGGTAGGTCCCCTATTGGTGAAATTGAGACTTCAATTAAACAATGTGTGTCGTCTATAAATAGTGGTACTGGTGGAGCTAATCATCAAATTTAATGATAATTTAAAATTATATTAATAGGCCAAAGTTGTCAGATGACCTCTAAAAGCATATAGTTATAGCTGGGCAGTAAGGGCATAAGTGGTAATCTGCGTATTACTTTTTTTTTTAAAAGGTAATAGTATAACTTGTACCAAGTGAAAGTGGAGTTTTTGTCTCCATCCCGAGTAAATTCCAGCTGTCCACACTTTAAAATGTGTATATTTCATTTAACGAAAATTAAAAATATTGTATCTTTAATGCTACAATTTAAACTTTAATATATATATATATATATATAAAATGTGTATATTTCATTTAACAAAATAAAAATATTGAGATATCCTTTAATGCTACAATAAAACCTTAACTATACTATATCTATAATATTATATATATAGCAATGTATTTAATAATAGGAGTATTGCACATCTATAAAATTTTTAATGTAAAATATATATATATATATATATAGCATGATTTAATTTTAATTAGAGTATTGCCATCTAATAAAATTTTAATGTAACTTAATCAAATTTCATTTCATTTCATTTTAATTAGTATATTTTAATTTAATAAAATTTTAAGTGTAATTTAATAAGTGTGATTTAATATAATTCTAATTTAAATTTGATTTAGTCATATTAAATTGTGATATAAATTAGCTTAATCGCAAGCAATTGAATTAATATTATATTAAATTGATAGAAAGAAATTGAAATTTTATTAAATTGTGATACCGTAATCAAAATTAAATTACGTTACTATTTATATAAGTACACACATTAAATTAAATTAAAATTATAACTAAATTAAGTCAAATTTGATTAAATCATGCTTAAAATTTTGTTAAATTTAAAATATACTAATTGAAATTAAATTAAATAAATTTGATTAAGGTACATTAAAACTTTTATTAAATTGCAACATTCTAATCAAAATTTAATTATACATAAGCACACAAATTAAATTAAATTAAAATTATAACTAAATTAAGTCAAATTTGATTAAATCACGATTAAAATTTTATTAAATTTAAAATATACTAATTGAAATTAAATTAAATAAATTTGATTAAGTTACATTAAAAATTTTATTAAATTGCAACATTCTAATTAAAATTAAATTATTTTAAAATTAATATATATGTGTATTAAAGTTTAAATTCCAGTATTAAAGATACAATATTTTTATTTTCATTAAATAAAATATACACATTGTTCTCTTAAGGCTTACAAATGGAATCAAATAGCTATTGTGAATATAAATAGTAGGTAATTAGCATTATTAAATATTTTATAGATTATTGTTGTCACCATTATGGTGATTTTGTCTAACATCTTTTGTTATTTGGATAGTTATGCAGAAATAAGTACAGTTCCTCGGAAGAAATTTGAAAGTAATCAGATCGAACTTCTAAAAAGATGTTAAGAGCAGTTTTCATTGAAGAACATCTGCTCCTAAAATTAGTTGCAAATATTAGGGTTGAGAAGAGAAGAAGAAAAAGGGAAAAGAAAGAGAGAAAGCGAAGAGAGAAGAAGATAATATATTCATTCATTACCCTAAAATATCTCATAACAAGAATATATATATGCCCGCTGATGTGGCACCAATCTAATAAAATAAGCCACATCAACTTACAACTCAGCACCCAATAATTTAATTATATCCTAACAAATTACCCTCCCCTTTGATTCACAACTTGACCTCAAGTTGAAATTATGGAAATTGTTGCTGAATTATTGAAGTGTCCTCCCAAGTAAAATCAGCAGGGTTGAGATTCTGGCATAAGATTAAGGATTGCTATACTAGTTTCCCTTTTCTCTGAATTACCCTGGTTTGTAAGACTTGTTTGGGTGTAACAATGGGTAAACCAGTAGGAGACATTTGAGGAAGGGAAGGAGAAATTACTGTATGAGCTCCAATGTACTTCTTGAGGAGTGAAACACGAAACACATGATGAATCTAAGCATCTACTGGAAGTTGTAACTTGTAAGCTGCAGACCCAATCTTTTCTAAAATCTGGAAAGGGCCATAATACTTAGTAGACAGCTTTAACTTCTTCCTTAAAACCACAGAATTCTGTCTGTAGGGTTGTGACTTTAGATACACCAATTCACCAACAGAAAATTGCCTCTCAATCTTGTGAGAATTCGCAAATTGTTTTATTCTATTTCATGCAGTAGTGAGAGTTTCTTTTAGGAATTGAGACAAGTGTTATCTGTCCAAAAGAAAGTCCTCTACTGAAGCAGGAGTGAAACCAGGAGCCAACTGAAGTAATAATGGGGGAGAAAATCCATCCAATGCTTGAAATGGAGACATTTTTAAACTAGAATGATATGTAGAATCATACCACCATTCAGCTAAGCTTAGCCAAGTGGACCAAGCAGCGGGTTTTGCTGTTGTCATACATCTTAAATAGGTTTCAAGGCACCTATTTAATCTTTCAGTCTGCCCATCTGTTTGAGGATGATTGGCGGAACTAAAGTTAAGTTTAGTGCCAACAGCATGAAATAACTTTTTCCAAAAAACGCTAGTAAAAGTTTTATCGCGATCAGAGACAATGGTTTGAGACATACTATGGAATTTCAAAATGTTATCCATAAACAAGGTGGCTATTTTAGTAGCAGTAGTGAGTTAGAAGTAGGTGGCTGTGTAAATCCCAATAAATCAGTCATTTTAGGGATGTGTTGGGAGGGATTTGAAGATTCTACAACATCCTTAGTCTTAGGAGGTGGAAGTAATCCATTATCCCTTATCAGATGTCTAGTAAAAGGAGCCTCAAGAGTGGGGGAGTAGGAGATTTACCTTTTTTATGAAGTCTTGAACAACTCTGTTAGGTGAGCTAGTTGTGCAGTAAGGTCCTCCATAGCTTTACTTTGAGTTGCATGTTGATTTTCAAGTGCCAATCTGAGTTCCAGCACCTCCATTTAAGTATTGGCCATATTTCTTTGAACCGAGTCCTCAAGGCGTTGAAATCGATCAATGCAGAATGTGTTTTGGTTTGCATTGAGAATGTCTTTTGGTTTGCTGTTAATGTGTTTTGGTGAAACAAAATTCTCTTTCTTCTTTAAGTTTTGGTTTTGGTTTGCTTTTTCATTATCAGTTCTGTTGCTTTTGGTTTACTGCAGAATGTGTTTTGTTTTCCTGCAGAATGTGTTTTGCTTTGTTGCATTTCAGTTATCATTTTATGTTGCATTTGTCTGTTTTTGGTTATGATTTGTTGTGAATGTGTTTTGCTTTGTATTCTTTGTTGTATTTGGTGATTCAGAAGCTTTGAGTAGAGTGATATGCATGTTTAGTGAAACTGCATTTTCTGTTGCAGTTTGTAATAGCATGTTCTTGCAATATTTTGGCTTTGGTGAAATTTATGCATTTTCTGTGACTGTTATGCTCTAAGTTGATCCATCAATTCTCCATAACTTTTCCCGTATCAGGCTGAGAGAAGGAGGAACAATGGAGGACAAACACAGAGTCAAATGCAGTCTCAAGGGGGAGAGCTGGGTCACTCACACAAGCAGTCTCAAAGGGAAGCTCAGTCTATAGTTCCCAACACCAGGCCTACACAAGCAATAGGGACCTCTCAGATTGGGGAGTGATATTATAGTGACTATAGGGACTTTTGGATTTTTGGGATTTTTTTTTTTTTTTTTTTTTTTTTTTTTTTTTTTTTTTTTTTGTTTGCGCGCTGTTTTCGATGTTTAATCCTGACCAATGTTATTACTGCCCTAATGTGTTGGTCTTTTGGTTTATTGAGTTCAAAAAACTTAAATTTGACAGTGGTGTAATATAACTATGATATATATTGAATGATAAGTAAGAAAAATCTCTCAATTCCAAAAATACATCCGCAAACTCAATCCCTCTTAGCACATAAGATTATTTTGGCAGCCAAGTTAAGAATGGTTGCAGATATAAAAATTGGCAAGATCAGTAATAATGTAGATTATATTGTTTAATTGAATAAATTGGAGTATCTGCTGTAAGATGTGATATTTTAGTAATGTGAACTAAGTATAGGTCTTGAATCAATGA